TCTGAGTGGATTGCCTGAGCCCGCGGGTTCGAGACCCGCCTGGGCAGCGAGACCTCATCTCTACAATAAATCAAAAAATCAGCCGGGCGTGGTAGTGCCCGCCTGTCATTCCAGCTACTCGGAAGGCTGAGGCGGAAGGATTGCCGGAGCCCAGCAGGTCAAGGCTGTGGTGGCCGGGAGCAGCCACTGCACTCCAGTCTGGGCGACAGAGTGAGACTCCAACTCAAAAAAAAAAAAAAAAAAGCTATGTAAGTAATGAACATCAACAAAAAATTGAATAAAGTTATGCCAAACACAATTTTCTTTCTATGTAAAACTATGTTTTCACACATTTTTTATAATGATCATATTTTGAAAATACAGCAGGTCCTCGAATAATGCCTTGTTCAACATTGTTCTGTTATAACACTGACGAGAAAAGAAATAGCTTCCACCAACCCTAGCAACTTGGCGAGACCTCAACTCTACAATTAAAAAAAAAAAAGCAGGTCATGGTAGTGCGTGCCTGTAGTTCCGGCTACTTGGAAGGCTGAGGCCGAAGGATCGCCTGAGTCCAGCAGGTTGAGGCTGGGGTGGCCGTGAACATGCCACTGCACTCCAGCTTGGGCAAGGAACAGAGACGCCAACTCAAAAAAAAGGAAAATATATGATAGGCATCCTTCAAGTCAATACTCCATGCCTGCAATATCTGAAAACAGGCATCATCCCAGTGATGAGCACAAGCAGAAAGCAGCTGGCTCCTGGCTGGAGGACTAGAAAGAAAAGGTTTCAGAAGCCTAGATTTGAGCTCACTCAACAAGGTCAAGCACTAGTGCATCAAAGAGAAGACTACAAGCAGCTGTGAGAAAAACCAAAGCTCGAATCCTGCTGTTCTTGATCCTGAAGAGCCAAGCAACAACAGCAGCTAAAGAAAGTGGCCATGCTGCCACCTGGTGGTGGCTATAAAAGGCGGGAGACAGTCTTATAATCTTAACTATTTAGTTATTAAGCCTTGCTCCTCAAAGTGGTTCCTGGGATCCCCTGTGCGGCTCGTGAGAAATATGGAATCGCAGGTCCCGCCCTGAACCTGCCAAATAAAACATGAATTTTTAACATTTTCCCAAATGATTCATGTGCACATTAACTTGGGGAAAGCGGCTGGGCACAGTGGCTCACACTTGTAATTCTAGCACTTTGGGAGGCCAAGATAAGAGAATTGACTGAATCCAGGAGTTCGAGACCAGCTAGGGCAACATAGTAAGACCCCCGTCTCTACAAAAATCAAAAAAGTAGCTGGCTGTGGTGGCATACGCCTACAGTCCCAGATACTCCAGCTGAGATGGAAGGATCATCTGAGCCCCAGAAGTCGAGGCTGCAGTGAAATGTGATGGTGCCACTGCCCTCCAACCTAGGTGTCAAAGTAAGCCTTCAACTCAAAACAAACAAACAAAAATACCTGGAGGAAGCACTGGTTTAGAGAACAACAGAAATCTTCAGCAAGACCCTTTATTTCTCAGGTTTATTTCTCACCTGGATGCCAAAAACAGCTCTAGCCAAAGACCTGCATCACTGTCATCAGCAAAATGGATACAGCTAACTTCAGGAAGAGTCAAGGAAGAAAGCACCTTTTACCCTGGTCTGTGAACTGGCAGGTTCATTATCTAGGCGCAAAACTACCCATACCCTAATGGTGCTGTACTCAGGACCACAGATGTA